CAGTGTTACAATAATTTTGACAATTTTCCAATATTTTCCCAGCAATGAATCCACTCTATATACTTTGTCATGATCTACTGCTTATCTCTTCATTTACTGCATGCTTTTATGAATGTTTACATAATAATAATAATCGCAATGATAATAATGAATCAAATGTATAATAACAACATAATAGTAATAAATCACACTACATGTCATTATGACAATGCTTTCACTTTACAGAAAAATGAAGCTTCTAATGCACCATTAATATACCGTTGTCATAACAAATCCCACTCGCCCAATAAAAGTCCAAGATCATTTACCTATCAGGAAGACTTTTTGATAGCATTGGGGTTCAAAAACTGACAAAGCAGGATCAAGCAACACAAAACCAAGATCTCAGGGCTACAGAGTCAAAAACAGATCAGCTATGGCAAGCAGTAGCTACCATTAGAAGTCACTTCAGCCATTCTGCTTTCTTCCAACAATTATAATTAACTAACTTTATTGCTTAATATGTAAAACCACAGGTATACATGTTAGCTCCTTCCATATAAGACAATAGGTTAAATTTCTCTCTTAAAATTATAACCTTAATTGTCGGACAGTAGAATTCTCTATCACATTTAGTCTTTCTTATTGTTTGTCAATAATAGCTAGTCCAGACTCAAGACGCTAGTCAACTAGCTCACGTTGCTCAAATTATTTTTAAACAAGAACTAATTTCCAAAAACAGTACCCCTAAACATAATGTCAAAAAATTGATGTCAATCTTGATGAGAAAACTATGATTAAGACACTAGAGGCATAATGATAAAAAGAGAGTGAGGTATAGGTAGTAGTAGTAGTAGCATAGCTGTGACTCTGTTGTGTTTGAGGAATGTAATGGTGTACCAGGAGTAAACTATGAGGCTGATGGTAAAGCTGGCTGGATACCTGTTCGTGAGCACAGGAGAGGAAAATCATGCCTCAAACCACACGATGAAGATTCTGATTCTGAAACTGAGGAACTAAGATTACCTGTGAATGCCACAGTATGTTTTATCTCCAGAGATGGGTCTCCTGGATTACATATTGCTAATCATAAAGTGAAATACTGGTCCCCTATTGCTGTTAGAACTCGTAGTAAACTAGGATTGCAGTAATTATTTTAGTTAGTTAATTATGTTAGGCTCTTTGATTTGATCAATGAGTCCTTCAAAGACTCTTTTTCAAATTATTCTATCATTATTCATTGCAGCGTCGATGTCTTTGTAAAGTTCATTATTATTATTAAGCAGTCTATAAGATATATGTTAATGGCATGCTTTCATCTTTACTGGCAAAAGGTGAGGGACGTGAAGTGTAAGGTAAATGACACATGATGAACATCAACAGCTTCTTCTCCATCAACACATTACTTAAACAATAGATATCAGGTCAGTTTGATTCGCTTAAAGCAAAAAGTTAGTTACAGCAAAGTCTATGATCATTAAAAACAACAAGAATTCATACACATAGCATACTTATAATGGGCAACACTGTAACACAATACCTTAAACGTTTGTGATCACCTTACATGTAAATCAACAAAATTTGAACGACTTCCAATGCCATTCTATGTTAAACAATGTAGAGAAAACAAAGATTAACTTGAACGAATAATTTTGAGCACATTTTCATTGAAAACACAAAATTTTTAGAGACTAAAAAAATATTAGCAGTAATGAAATAGCAGTAGCTTCCACAATAAGTTTAGCAGCCTAGACATCAAAAACAAATCTTTGCAAAATTAATGTGAAGCAACAAGTGTTACACAATAGCTAATTGTCATCAGTGTGTAACAACTTTTAAAAACATGCATGTTTTTAAATTTAATGTAGCAACAAAGGTATGAACAATTGATGCATGTAGGCTTTTCCATTAAGGTTACTATAAAACCTTGTCATGACAGCAAAAATATATGCATGCCATAATTATTACCACTGCACAGCGAGAAATTTTCATGGCCAAAAAATTTCACAAATTCATTCAAAAATCTATTATGTGGTTTTAGTTTTCATACTTTTTGCCTTTAGGCCATCTTGAACATCTCGAAATGTATTAAATCAATTTTCGTTCATTTCATTTTCATGAATTTTAAATAAATTGCAAAAATTCCCAAAAATTATAGGCCACGAAAGATTCTAGCTATCTATATATGGTATTAATTTTAATATTGTACGTTGTACTGCAATTTACCGGCAAATCAAAATTAAACAGTGACACTGAATAATACATACATGTACCCACCAGCCCATTTACAAAACAAAATGTATGAATGGACATACATTTGTATGCTGTCACTCATCACTACCTTGACTCATGCCTTGACTGCTCCATCAATCACTACAGGATAAAACAGTACTTCTGGTCAGAAACTCGAGAGTGAGAAGGCTGACTGACTTTCGACTAGATAGATTTAGAAAATAATCAGAGTACTGCTTTTGATCACTGCACAAAGCTAAAAAGGGTTGGCTAATGCTATCCAACACAACTGTGACTGACTGGGACAGTGTACTCTATCCCGGACTTATCCTCCATTATGTTGGGCAGGCCAGCAGGGCGCATCTCGTCAAGTAAGAATTAGAATTGAGGTAGTTCTGTTTGGCTACCGGAGACTTTGCGTGTGTT